ACTATCCTAAGCGTTGTTTGATAGGCCCACAATGTTATGATATTTTAAAATATTTTAAGATCTTGAAGCTTCCTAATTTGATTTGATCAAAGAGGTGTTTGATAACACTACATAATATTTGAATACCACCCCAAAAACAAAATCCCCAAAAAAACAGGTCTAACTTGAATTTTAAAAAATTTGGAAAAACACTAACTTGCAAGTTAGCGTTTCTCCGTCAAAATATTGGCGCAATTCCCCCTCTCTCACGTCAAAAATTTAGCCTCCCTCCTTTGGTGGAAAATTTAGCTTCCCTCCTATGGTGGAAGGTGAGAGCCTCCCTCCTTTGGTGGAAATTTAGCCTCCCTCATCAAGTGGAAGGTGGGAGCCTCCCTCCTTTGGTAGAAATTTGGCCTCACTCATCTAGTGGAAGGTGGGACGCCCCCATGGTGGAAGTGGGATGCTTCTATTCAACAAGATTCTTTTTGTCCATCTATAGACCTTTTTCTCTCTTGTTTCTTAATTTCAATAAAATCTCTCTCTCTAAAATCTTTCTTTCTCTCTGCATATTTTCTTGTAGCATAAGTTTAGTGGTTGAGATGAAGATGCACAAAGTTTAATGGTTGCTGCTTTGGAATCATGTTGAAGCCTTCTTGCCTTAGTCTGAATATCTTGAATATATTGGCATGCTTCTATATATGAATGATCTTATAAACCTTAACAGCAGCCCATTTGATTACCATAGTGATCTTGAAAGCATTTCTATTGTTTACTACTTTAGATTTTATTTGAGTGAATGAATAGCCAGCTTTTAATGGCCTGATTTACTCCTCCCTCATCGTGACGTTTCTTTTTGCCAAAAAAAAATGCTCTGATCTTTGTAAATAGAATTTGAAGCCCACATGTTTTTCTTCACTCTCTCCATTTCACTCTCTCCATGGTTTTGGTGCGTTAACATTCTGGTTGTTGGTCTCTCTCTTTATTAAATTGGTTCTAGTTGGTTTATATGACGGCTTGCATCCAATTCGTGCCTTGGGGATCCAACATAGTACGACGGCTTGCATCCAATTCGTTCTTTGAGGATCCAACACAAACCCTCTATGGTGATTTTGTTACAAATCAAAATGTGCTTACTGAAGAAAATACATTTATTGTAATTTTGTCTCCCAAACAATCAAATATCTTAAGGAAAAAGTTTATATAAGGATGCAACCTTATAATGTAGCACTATGGATGCACCTCAAAAATCCATTGGAAAAGGCAGTTTTAATGTTGAACTTTGATTGATCATCTCGACATCAAGATGTATGACTATGAAAAATAAAAAGATTTTAAGTCTCAGAAATAGTTCATTTTGTAACATATTATCTACACCGTCCATTTTCAAGATTTTCATATGTTTATAGATCTACTTGATTTTAACCATTTTTTAAATTTAAAATTAGATAAGTACATATAAAAATAGATTTACGACAATCCTAAGAACATTTTACCTCAAAATTATATACCATGATAAAATTTGAAGGTGCACCTTACCTCTACAGCTACAGATGCATCCGTATGCCAACTACACCCATATCTTAAATCTTAGAAAATTCTGAAATACAGGTAGATAATCAAACATGCACAAAAAGATACATATAATGATAATATATAATTCAGATATATGAAAAGCAGACAATGGCTTTATTTAGATTTTCAAAAATTTGAATATTCTAATCCTGTTTTGTCAAACATACCCTAAATGTTTAAGAGAGAAAGCCATTTTAAATATATTAGAGAGAGAAACTATCTCATTTTAGAGATAGAAATTATCTCAAATTTTAAGTTTTAGAGAGATAATCTATATCAAAAATTTTCGAGACAGAAACTATATCCAATATCAAATTTTAGAAACTACCTCAAATTTTTTAGATAGACTTTTGTAAATTTTTTCGAAATAGACCATCTCAAAGTTTTTTGAGAGGGAGGCAATCTCAATTTTCAATTTCTTAGAGAGAGAAACTATCTCAAAAAATTTAAAAAGAGAAACTGTCTTAATTTTTTAAGTTTTAGAGAGAGAAAAAGTATCTTAAAAATTTTAGAAAGAAAAACTATACCCTCAAAATTTTTAGAAAGCTAAACCATCTTAAAATTTTAGCAAGAGACTATTTCAAAATTTCTAGAGAGATAAGCTAATCTCAATTTTCAATTTTTTTGAGAGAGAAACTATCTCAAATTTTTTAGAGAGAGAAGCTATCTCAATTTTTATGTTTTAAAGAGAGAAAATATCTCAAATTTTTTAGAGAGAGAAACTATATCAAATTTCAAGTTTTAAAGAGATAAACTACATTAACAATTTATAGAGAAACTACATTAAAAAAATCCAGAGAGATAAATCAAATAAAAATTTAAGTTTTAGAGACTGAAACTATCTCAAAATTCTTAGAGAAAAACTACATTAGAACTTTTAGAGGGAGAATCTATATCAAAATTTTTAGAGATAACCTATCTCAAATTTCAAATTTTTAGAGATAACCTATCTCAAATTTCAAATTTTTAGATAGAAGTTGTGCCGGACCAGCAGAAGTTGAATATAGAGCCAATCCAGTACAAAAAATGTATTGGACTGGTTCTATACAAGTTGCGCCAATCTTAGAGAGAGAATGTGAGAAACGTGGCCAAAATAAAGATATTTTGGTAAAAAATAAATAAACTTTTTGTACTTGGCTGTGGATGAAAAAAATAGTATTAGGGTTATATGTGTTTTTTTTTTTTTTTGGTCATGGGAAAGGGTTGAAGGCATTGCATAAAAATACAAATTGGGGGTATCTATAATTTTCTAAAAAAGATTCCCTATCTGACCATTCACATTAAATCTTTAATGCTGTGTGTTTTTTTTTTCTTTTGCCCAACCACCTTCGATCTAAGGTCCAATGTTAGGACTGAACTTTTTTTGGGGAGTGAGGGTTGTATTTGTAACGTCAAGTTCTAAAGCCATTTTTTCAAGTGAAAGGCTTAAAGCTGAGATCTAAACTGAAAGTTTGGATCTAGCTTCCAATAAAATAAATTTGTGCAGGAAGTCGAAACCGCATACGGTCTCAGGATAGAAAGTCCATTCAATCATTTAATTTGGAAGGTTGAGTTTAGATCTTTAACTACTAAACTTTTTTTTCATTTAAAAGCTAGATTTAGAACCTGAAAGCGGAAACCCAACATTCACTCAAAAAAGTAAAAGAAAAAAAATTATTTAAGGTTGCAACTTTAAAATGTAGAATTACAGATGTAACTCAAAAATCCATCGGAAAAGGTTGTTTTAATTTTGGAAACCTTCTAATTGATTATCTCGATATCGAGATTTATGAATATGAAAAAAAGAAAAAAGATTTTTTGTTCCATAAATAGTGCATCTTGCAACACATTATCTAGACCATCCATTTTTAATATTTTTATATATTTATAGATCTATTTGATTTTAACTTTTTTTGAAGTTTAAAATTTTATAATTAGATATAAAAATAGATTTTCAAATAATCTTAATAACTTTTTACATCAAAATTAGATGTTACGATAAAATTTGGAGGTACGTCTTACTTAAATTGTTTAAGGTTGCAACCTTATAGAAACCGCACCGAAGAAAAAAAACGAGGAAGGAAAAAAACGGTAAAAAGGAGTTTGGTGCTAATATAGCACGCACAATCTCTGAGCAAAAGCTGGGTCTAGACCTTCAAATTCTGAACTTAAGATTCACTAGAAAAATTAAGTTTGCAAGTTGAAGTTCCAAATACATTGTTCACTCGTAAAGAAAAAATTTCGGATAGTTGAGTTAAATGTAGTTTGATAAAAGTAGAAAATGTGAACCCGGGATATATTGGGTGTGGTTGTATAAGTGGAAATCTTAAAACAACAAAAATATAGCGCACTTCTAAATCTTACTAAAAGATGCAGTACCGAAAACCTTTATGGTTGGCTAAAATTCTATTTTGACCTCTAGTTATAAAATTTAAAGATCGAAGAATGGGGTAAATCAAATAGATCTATAAACATTAAAAAGATTTGAAATTGGACAGCAAGGATAACATGTTACATATATATTTTTAAGACTTGAAATTCTTTATATATATATATAAATCAAGATGATCAATTGTAGGGTTTTGTCAAAATCAAAACAACCTCTTTCAAGTGGATTTGTTATGCACCTTACTTTTACAATGTAAATTTAACACCGTAGATAATTTTCACCATATATATTAGAGAGGTTTTTAAAGAGAATTAAAAAATCCTTTATATATAAAGTGTCAGCTTTTGTATTATTGAATTAAGGTACCCCTTAAAAATCCAAGAGTGCGCCGATTTTGGATAACTCTCAACTTTATGATCTAGACCTCAAGATCTATATGAAAAAAAGAATTCAAGTAATATATGTCATAACAAGTTATCTTCTATTTTTAATAATTTCAAATGTTTATAGATGTGGTGGATCTATATTTTTTAGATATTAAAAATAAAAATAAAAAAAAGACCCCATTTTTTATGCAACTTACCGCAACCTAATTTTTTCTCTCGCTTTTCTTTAAAACAAACTTTCTATGCAAATACCCCCAAGAGAAAAAGTTTATTTTTTAGACAGAAATACCTTTCCCATACACAAAAATCATTTTGGTCAGATTTAACGTTAATTTTGGACCCAATAGCACATTGCCAGAGCTGCCGAACCGCCTTAAGATAACTGCCGGACAAAAACTGACTATTACCAAACCGCGCTTTACATAGTGCGGGAGCCCTGGAATCAAGTAACATCTACTGTCGAACCGCCTTTGCATTTGCCAAACTACATTTTACGTGTCGTAGCCCTACTACCGGACAGTACTTGCACAGTATCAGAGCCGCTATTTTCGTAGAATTGATGGGAGAGGCAGATAAAGTAAAAGTAAAGGATGGTAGTTTAGGTATTTTTTTATCTTTTATTTAGTTGGTTTTTTCTTTTTTCTTTTTTATTTTTTCTTTTTTTTTTTTTTTTTTTTTTTGGGTAATTTGCCCTTTTAAATTTTGCAACTAAAAGGTCGAAACTAAATCTCGAGCCACCATCTGCAGATGCAAGGTGCATCGCCCATTTGAGATATCAAAGAGTCTAGAAGGATGAATGGATTTGACATTTTGAAAGAGGGGACCACCTCGCACGTGTAATGTGTAGGTGATGAATCCAGAGGTTTCTTTGAGCGTGCGGGGTGAAAGGTCTGGAAGGCGGGGGAAGGAGGAGAGGAAGTGCCACTCTCTTTCTCTTCCCCTAACAGAGGATCGTTGGTCACAGCAGATAATAAAGCAATCAATTGTCCAGTGGGTATTTGCGGATTGTGTGTCTACACACCGTTAATTTTCCTATTTGGATCGTGGGTTAAGCTCGGCAGGTCCCAAAACGCAATCACGTAAGGAATCTCTCTCTCTCTCTCTCTATCTATCTATCTGTTTGAAAATTGCGATGCATTCATTTGGTACAATTCGTGAGTTTAAGATTCTTATTTAAGTTCTTATTTCATTTTTTTTTTCTTTTGAAATTTTAGCACAGTAACAGAACTATATAAGGGAGTAAGAATTGTGAGTTCTTTTGATTTGGAGATCTTGTTGAATATCCTTTCCTTTGTTTTGCTTTTACCATTTTCCTTATAATCTGATGAAAAAAATGGATTGCATTCTTCTTTAGGAGCTTTTTCATTTAGGCTATGGACTTATATTTTTGGTTGGCTGGTTACAGATTTCTTTGTTCTTTGTACAATTGCTTCCCTTCCATTTTTCATTTCTTCCAATAAAATATGTCTCATCCTGCAGATTTTGAAGGGAGATTTTGGTTTCTTCATTTTGATCGATCTCTCGTTGCTCCTCAAGGCGAAAAATTTGTGGACTTCATTATAGTAGAGGAGCAATTCAAATCAAATATAAGCTTCATAGATAGATTTTAAGAAAAATGGTGCCTACTTATGGACATCCATCTCCATATCTTCATCATCCTCCCCAGTACTATGCATTTCCTTATCAACATTGGAATCCTCAATGTCAGGGAGCTCCACACTATATAAAGGAATTTGGACCTCAAAGTTATGGAAGTGGCTTTTTTTGTCCACCAGAATATCAGCATTGCTTTGGTTGCTACCCCCATGGCTACTATCCTTCTGGGCAACACTATTATTGCAGACATTCACCTCCACCATCACTTTGGGATCATCACTCCCATCCTAATGGGCATCCAGTGTATTTTGTGCCTCCTTCCCATTATAGTGGTCATCTTGACCGCTACAAGGATGACAAGGATGCGGCCAAAGCCCACTTCTGTGGATGTCCTAGCCATATCTGTAGCAGTCGCAGCGATGGTGGTGACCGAAAGATGAGTGAAACTGGAGGGCGTAGTAAGAATTCGGAGAGGGTTAATCAGAATACTAAAATAGACGCTGAGCACGGGCAGGATCTTTTTTATCGCAAGAAGTCACAGAGTTCCCCATATTCTCCAATCTTCTGGATACCGCCTGGTTGGGTGAATGGCAGAGAGGGAAATAAGCCATCTGAATCAGGCGGAGTGGTTCAAAATAACTGGCTCCCTGTGGATTCAAGTGAGACAAAATTTCCCAATGGAAGTGGGGAAGACGAGAGTCGTTTACCTTTTCCGATTATTTGGATGCCAAATTATGATAGACAACAAGAGGCTGGAAAGAAAAAGCAGGAGTCTGATACTGACACTGAAGTTGCAGAGCAGCCTATCCAACTGAAGATCGTTCCTGTGATGGAGCAGGAGGATGAAGCATGTGGGAAGGATAATATGCCAAGTAAGGACGAGAAGAAGGGCACCAAGTGTATTAATAACTATCACTCAGAAAAAGTTATTGAACCTAGTTGCAGGCTCAAGCTTGCTCCTGTTGTGGAGGGAGAGGATGAAGGAAGTGCAATGAGTAATTTGAAGTCTAGACCAGAAGCTACTGAAGATGCAGGTGATCTTTCAGTTTCTGGGAAAGAATCTACGATAAGGAACATTCCTGTCAAGCAGGTGGAGGAAACTAAGGAGAAAAAAGCTTTGGAGAGCGTCATGAATAAGCCATCATCTCCAGGAAGAGCCTCTAAACTCCCTCCTGTTTGTTTGCAGGTTGATCCTTTACCTAGGAAGAGAACTGCCAATGGTAAATCAAGGTCTCCAAGTCCCCCTGGTGTAAAGGATAAGCTCCCACCTCATAATGACCATTCAAGCATGAAGATGGAGCAACCATGTTCTGCATCAGCTGTGAAACAAGTGAAAATCACCAACTTGGAAGAGAAAAATGACCAAAATGAAAGAGGGGATGCTGAGGTTCAGATTCAAGGGCCTGCTCTTACAGAAAAAATTGTAGAACAGAAGGAAAGGGCAGACGCTACAGAACAATCGAAAAGGGATGTGGGTAGTGATGCAAGTGCAATTTTGAAGATGATAGCGGGTACTTCAGCTAATAAAGGTGAAGAGAAGGACATGGATAAGAAGAGTAGGAATCTATTTTCTGATGAGGAGGCAGCTGTTTTAATTTAGTGTGTTTATCGTGGTTTTGAGGTGATGAAATGGGAGCCTTTGAAGAAGCTGACGCGGATATCAAGAGTTCGAGAGCAGGCTGCTGATATCCAGCAGCGTATCTGTGGCATGGAGGCTTCACATGAGCTTCAAAAGGATCCAAAGCAGAGGATGTTGATTAGTGAGAGTATAATGACTCTACTTCTGCAACTAGATACCATCCAGGTATTTGTTTCTCTATTATACGAATTTTTCTGTTGACAATGAAATCTATTCCTTCCGTTTAGTTTTATTATACCTCGTTGTTTGCTTAATTTGTGCATAAGCCAAAGGTTAGGACCGTTTTCAGCCTACCCCTCCCGGGACCCTGCTTAGGCGGGACCAGTACCTGGTTATGGCCCTTGTTTTTGTTTTTTTAATTTTTTATCTCAAGATGTGGAACTATGATCAGACTGAACATAGGAAAGTGAAGAAGAATTCATATGTTGATGGAAATAAAATGGTAGCCATATAGAGTATCAGCACTTAGGAGGAACAATATTATATTTGAAGATGTGCAATCATGCCCTTAGGATAAGGTGGAAAGTGACTGCTTTTAGTTGATTTTTCGATACCTGGAAATAGTAGCATTCAAATTTAAGATGCTAGAAATGTCTATCCGTGCTGGTGATGAATTGCTGCTCTTGATTTTTGGAACTGGAATGTTCTGGCATATATAATGTCACTTGCAAAAAATTGTAAAGATGATAAAAGACCATCAATGTGAAACCAAAACATTCTGGTGGTCAAATAAGAGGGTAAATTTCTCAGGGCTATCAGTTGTCTAATGTGGCAATGGCTTGGTTTTACCACTCAGGCCTGATAAAGTTCAAATGTTTTATACCAGTTCAGAGGTGTGCTCTAACATTTTCAGGAAATCTATTGCCGTTATAATTTTTTGTGAATCGAGTTCTTTGGGAGCTGCTTAACTCTTTTGTTGTCTACAATGTCTAGTGTTTAACTCGTTAGGACACCTCATTTGTGAAGTTTTTTGGAGAACTACTAGCAAGAGATCTGAACTCCTCCTCTTCCTTCTTACTTTACTGCTAATGTGTATAAACATGCAGCAACATTCTGGAAATAAACATTTTCAAAATAAAAATAAAAAAATTCTGGAAGTTCCTTAGTAATGTACCACAAAAATGCAGCAAACTTTAACCGTAACGCTGCAACCCTTTCAAATGATATGCATCTATGCATTAAACCTTGACCTAGGGATTATCAGTGTGGAAAGCCTATTTTCACAACATAGGTTTCAAATAAGGTGAATTGTTCCCTGTAGTTCACAAGTCAATTTTAGTCCAAAGCTGGCTAGAAATCTTTTGAGTGATGGGATGAATTGTTTTGAATTTCCCATCTTATTTTTGGACCATACCCCACAGGCACACATGCACATGCACATGTATACGTTGTTTTCAAGGTAAAAGTTGTTAGTCCAATGATAGGATGACAAGACTTTTGAAGTTCATATGTCAAAACTTGGTTTGAGATAAGATTTTCTTTCCCCCTTCTTTAGAGCAGAGCTGTTGGAACAGTTTTGAACTTTGAAATGTTGTATATGAGAACCCATTGGATTTAATACTATTTTTTATTGCAGAGAACCTTATTTTTCTTCTTTTTCCTTAATACTATTGTGACAAACAAGTCATTCTATTTTTTAAGAAAAGTACCTGTTGGGAGAAATGGTTTACCTAAATGAACACTTTAGCATTATGGTTGTGCCATATCATTTGATTGTATGAATCTGTATTAATAGACTGTTTGTGGTTTTGAAATATTTTTCAGGGATTGCATCCCATTGTTAGAGATGTAAGGAAATCGGTAGCAAAGGAGCTAGTTTCTTTATAGGAGAAACTTGACCTGTTATCTGCACTGCCAAGTGAAGAACCGAAAGCAGTGTCGACTGCACATTTGGATTTTATAATTAGCAATGTGGAAGAAGACCACTACAAGGGTTCTTCAGACATGGAAGTCCCTGTAGAGGATGAAGTATAATCTTCTGATGATGGAAAAGGGCGAGATGAAGAGCCTTCAGCACATGGAAGCATGATAGATGATGAGATTAATAGTGAATCCCTCTTGGAGAAGGTTGATGCTGATAAAGTTAACGAATTGAAGGTTGATTGTGACTCATACACATGCTGAACAGACCACCATGAAATTTGAGAGAGAGAATGAATGGGATGCACAACAAGCTCAACAACTTGCCAATGTTAACAAAGAGGAGAATGTGGATGCACGAGCTCAACAAGTGGAAGAAAATGGAAATTTGTATGTTTGTATGATATCTTCGGCCGCTTTACAAGATGAGACTTGTTCGAAGGATAGAGAATCAGTAGAGGATGTGACTTGTCTGGATGGTAAGGAATCAACACTCCAAGGTGTTTCTGCAGAACCAAAATTACCTGTTATGGCCAATGAGATGAATGTTGTAGAGGATTCTTCGCATAAAGAGTTCGAAGGTATTAATTTAGCACTGTCAGTTGATTTAGAAGATAAGGCTGTGGAGCTTTTTCCGAATCAATCGAAAAGCGATGGCGAGACAGTGCATGACGACACTTCCTCCTGTGGAGGAGGAAGTACATCAAAATCATTTGGTGAAAAAAATGACAACCCTTCAGAGGAAGCCACATGTGACATCGATGGAGGTCAGCTTCCTCCCTCCAAGATGATAGTGAAGGATGCCACTACAAGGTTAATCTCCTCAGATGTTAGAGGTACGAATCCTGAAGACATTGCTACTATGGAAGAAGGCAGCCATACCAAAAAACCTGAGAAAACTAGCATCATGGGACTGGTGCATGAACAGTATGTTTCTGATCCTCTAACAGAGCCAAAAACTGGGGAACGAAGTCAGGCTTCTCTTTCTTATCCATCATCTACAAACTGGAACATGTTCTTAGAGGGGAGAACAGATCCCATGTGCATTGCCATTGAGGAGAAAGGAGAACAGTTGAAAGAGCATGGCAATGAGGGAATTGAAGGACCAGAATATGAAATTGCTGAACAAGGTCAAATTCCTCCATCCAAGCCACCTGTTTCTAACTTGACTGCTCCTGTGGAAGGGACAGATCCAGTCCAAGTCGCTACTGAGAGAAGCGATGAGTATTCTGAAGAACCTAAGAGCAAAAGGATCAGTGGAGGGATATGTGAAGACTCAAAACCGCCAGTCGAGGAGCACGAAAAACTAGAGAACAAAGGCCAATTGGAGGAAAACAGAGATAGAGAGGGAGAAGTAAAAATGCAGGGTGGTGATTATTATGCAGCAGCAGTGCTGACAGAGAAGGAGAAGCTGAGAGAGATGGTGGAAAAGAGGCAATTGGAGGTGATTTCAGAATTGAATGGGAGAGTTCAAGATTTGGAGTTCAAATTGAAGAAGAAGAAGAAGAAGATGAAGCAGTTGAAGGTTAGGACGCCCAGAGCTAGAGCCTCACCCTGCAAACCAAGTTAGACACAAAGTTTAGGCAACGAATTGTCGCTTTATATATATATCGATGAATGCTTTGTTTGTGTGTGTTGTATGAAGTCCTCTCTGGCATGGTATTTCTGTTTCCATTGCCAAAGGTTTCTGTATGGTTTGTCTAATCGTGTGCAACCACTCATGGTTTATATAAAGTGGGTTTTGTCAGGCTAAAAGGGATCTTTCAATTTTAAATATTAAATATTTTCACTCCACATTATAGCTACAACTTGCCTGGAAATAAAGTCCATCTTGGTTGGATTGTGTGAGGTAATAAATAAAAGTAAAAATCTTTTATTGTAAAGCTTTCTATGCTTTTCTTACGGCACAGAAGATCTATCCTTCTCCAACTTTTAACCATTCATTTCAAATGGGGCGGTTGAGATTATTTCACTTGGCATAGCAGCTAAGCCAGTAGTAACCCATCTCAAGTTGGCACATCGGCTAAGCCGGTAAAGTCAGTAACCCATCTCAAGTTGGCACATCGGCTAAGTTGGTAATCCATCTCAAGTTGGCACATCGGCTAAGTCGGTAACCCATTTGAACTAGCCCGTAGTAGCTCATTTGAAATAGCCTATAGTAGAAAGAGAGGGAACTATTTATAGATCTAGAGATTGAGAAAGAGAGGTCGAAAGGAAGAGGAGAGAGTGCAGAGCATGTAGAAGAGAGCGAGTAACCCATTTAGGCGTGTCACAGAACTGTCCATACCAAATATACCCAAAGTGAGTAAGGTATTTAGAAGATATTTGGAAGATTGTTAAAGGTATTGTACTTTGGGAGATCTGGAAAGAGAGAAATAGACACACTTTTGATGGGGACTGTCTTCCTCTTGACAGAGTTTGGATAAAATTAAGTATTCATTGTGGTCACTTCTGGCGGTATCTAATGAGGAGAGGGATATCTTGGAGGTGGATGTCACGTCTAACCTTCAAAATCTTTTGAATTTGGGTGTGGTAAGAAATCGACCTATTAGTTTTTGGACTCCCCTTTACAAGGGATTCTTAAACTTAGTTTTGATGGCAGTTCTCAAGGTAATCCAGATCCGTCAGATATTGGGAGTGTCTGATTGGAATGGGAATATCATCTTCACATATGCAAGGCCCCAGTTGGGGAAGCTACTGCAAACCAGGCTGAACGGTTTGCCGTTCTTCAGGGTCTTAAGATTTTCTGTAGTAGAAATTTGGGAAGTTCTTGTTTGGTTGAGGGGAACTCGATGATGCTATCCAATGGTGTAGGAGGGAGTCAGGGGTTTTATGGAAATTGGTTTCAATTTGGTCTCAGATTATTGATTTGGCTGAGATGTACGGGTTTCATGGAAATTGGTTTCAATTTGGTCTCAGATTATTGATTTGGCTGAGATGTTGACAATCTTTTTTTAACCACTTTTATAGGGAGGCCAACTCGCTTGATTCTTTGGCTAAGCATGGCTCCTTCTGCCCTCTCTTATTATTTCTAATGTTGTAGTCCCAGTTGGGTGATTCTTTTGTTAGCAATAAAAGGTTCATGATATTTGTCAAAAAAATAAATAAATAAATAAAGTAGAGAGAGAGAGAGATTTCTCTTTTTATTGCTGGGATTGTAATGTATTAGCCTCTCATATTACTTTATACCTTTATAAGTAATCTGTTAAGTGAGCTAAAAAAAATTATCTTGTGTGATAATACGCTTAATTCTTGTAATAATGGTAGTTCATGAGATGGCGGTCACGCAACAAGAAAATTTTAGAAGAATAGGCTATTCCATTGAAAACTGTTGAAGATGTTAAGGAGGTAATCTCAAAATCAAAATCAGTAGCAGCACATTTGTTTACCATAATAAAGTAGGTTCTTATTAGTTCTATTTATTTTTGGTATTTAGTTATGGGTCCAAATGCTTTTTGAACTTCGAAATCCTCTTCTGTTTAACCCCTTTCCCGTGTTATGTTAATCAGAAATTTAAGAACTCCTGTTTGGGGAAACTTAAAAGCCATCCGTGGTCGGAGTTAGATGAGCTTCAGCCAGAGACATTGATGATTAATGAGAAATTGGAAAATGTTCACTTGAAGGGGTGTTTTTACTATTAACAGCCAACCTGATTTATGTTAATTACTTATATTTACTGTTACTGATTAAAAGTTATGGCGGTGGAGGGTGCTCAAGTGGTGATATTGTTGTTAATATGGAGCCCATTAAGGCCTACATACCCATTGAGGCACTCGTACCTTATTCATCCTTTGAGATGGACCAGGATGAGTTCCATAAAGATAATTTTATAGATGCGAGTTTTGTTAATGTCATAGCAACTGGGGTACCTGATTCAGTTCTGAGATGAATCAGGATGCGTTCTATAAAGATAATTTTATGGATGCGAGTTATGTTAATGTCATAGCAATTGGGGATGGTAAGGACAATGAGATCCCATTGTTTTGTGATCAACAAGACAATAGTGAGTATCAATGGGTCCCACTGTTAAATGTACTAGGACATAATGACATGTGTTTTATGTTAAATGCTTTGTTTTTTCCATATTCAATTGGTTTTCATTTTGAATTAGTTACCAAGCTAATGTATTTTTAAAATTTTCTATGATTATATCAGTTTGGATAACAATGTAAAAAGCCAAAGCAGAGGCTATGTCTTTAAAAACAATACTGGAATTTTTTTTACAAGCCTAATGGTCAACCCTCAAGCTCATCATCTCATAAATTTTTTGCAAGCCCGATGCTCAACAATCAAGCTCATCATCTCAGAAATGTTTTGCAAGCCCATTGCTAGTGGAGAAGACCTTGCTTGGAATGAAGCATCGAAATGGAATTTTTGTATAGCTTCCATACGGTGCAAATTCATGTTGTAAGTAGAATTTTGTAAAGTTTCAAAGTGTATGTTGAATAGCTTCGAAATGGAAGTTTTGTATAGCTTTCCATTTTGCAAATTGAAATTGCAAATAGAACTTTTGTATGGCTTCAAAATGGAATTTTTGTATAGCTTCCATATATTGCAAACAATATGTAGATCTCTCACACTATCCCACAACCATTCTCACTCTTTGCGTGTATGTCTGTTTGTCTCTCTCTACCCCCTACGAACTCTATGGGTGGTTTGCGCTTCCAATAGTACTCATTCGCTTCTAACACTAAAATAATAGTACTCCAAATTTGTCACCAAAAAAAATTTTCTATAAACACAATTACTTATGTGCCCAGAATGTCAATCCGACACATTTTATTCCCAGTCCAGTACAAAACCTTATGGTGCTCAAAATGCCAGTCCGACACATTTTATTCACAGTCTGGCACAAAACTTTCTGGTGACCGGTCCGACAAATTTGACTCTCAGTCCAGCACAAAACCTTTTGGTACCCAGAAGGACGGTCTGACACATTTTACTCCCGGTCCAACGCAAAACCTTATGGTGCCCAGAAGGCCGGTCCGACACATTTTAGTCTCGGTCCGGCACAAAACCTTTTGGTGCATAGAAGGTCGATCCTACACATTTATTCCCGGTCTGGCACAAAACCTTTTGGTGCCCAAAAGTCCGGTCCGACTCATTTTACTTTAACCTTCTAGTGCCCAGAAGGCCGGTCCAATACATTTTATTCCCGATCCGGTACAAAACCTTCTGGTGCCCAGAAGGCTAGTCCGACACATTTTACTCTTGATTTGGTACAAAACATTCTAGTGCCCAGAAGGCCGGTCCGACACAAAACGTTCTTGTGCCCAAAAGGTCAATACGACACATTTTACTCCCTGTCCATCACAAAACCTTACTGATGCCCAGAAGGCCGGTCCGACACATTTTACTCCCAATCCTACACAAAACTTTCTAGTGCCCAGAAGGTTGGTCTAACACATTTTGTTCTCGGTCCAGCACCAAACCTTCTAGCCGATCTGACACGTTTTACTCCCGGTCTGAACTATTCCAAACTTGTAACTTATGAATTTCAAATAGAAATTTGGGATATAAAAATACTAGAAAATAACTATAAAATGTATGGGCGTGGAGATAACCTTCATTTTTAATTTATATCAGAAAAAAATGCCATTTCTAACTCCCCCAGTTTCATACACCATGAGAAGTGATTAAAACTACCATTGTTTTCCCATTTTAACATTTTTACTACCTAGACCAAATTTCCTTAATAAAAAAGAAACACTAAGCCTCAACCTGCCCATTTTAACATTTCCGACACCAAAATTACATCGCAGGAGCAAGTATGAAGGTCCACCTTCCTTTGATACTTTGAGGTTGCAACTTTATGCAAACCACACCCTTTTCAATCATATCCAAACGAAGCTTACATGATGGCTGAAAGATAACCAAATTGAGGGATTGCACGCCTCTATTGAGAGATTGCACGCCTCTGTAACAGTCCTAACTGCACGCCCCATTAATACTCCTAAATACGCCTCTTTAATACTCCTAAATATGCAAAACAAAAAAGAACAGGACAGAGACAATTTGGGACAACAATTTGGGGCCATGTAATAATTAGAGAACAATTATAAAGCCACCAAGAAAATTAACATGAAGGTTGGAAGGTAAAGCTGTTAGCAACTTAATAATGCAAAATAGCCATCAACATGTGAGTAGCTAGTAGCAGTAATTCAAGTCGACAAATTCTTATTACAGCATTAGCCACGATGGCACACCATAAAACAAGAAAAAGGCCTTCGGGGCATGGCTAAACAATCGGGGAGCCCGATTGTCTTGTACTGTTGAATTCTTTCTTTCTTATAATATTTTGAATTATTAAAACATAAGATTATTATGCTTAGGTTGTCTTTAACCTATTAATTTTCTTTTGTGTATGCTGATTCTATATTTTTCTTTCACTTATGCAGTACTTCATGAAGACAAAAGTGCAAGTTTGGTCAAAGATGCAAGTTTAAGCATCCAAAGGATAAAGTGGAAGCCTCCAATGTGACCTCACGTTGTGGAAATAAGAAGTACAAGTTCTTTCTCTCTCTCTCTCTCTGCTTCACCGCCTCTCTCCCCTAATTTCTTGGTCCTCTAAAGTCAACTCCTAGATTCAAATGACAAAACAAATTTCCAGTCCAATACCAATGAATCAATCACAATACCGCCATTAAGATGCAGAAAATACACACAATTGTGAAAGCAATCCTTTGATCCAATGAAAAAAAAAGAGAGAGATAAAACCTATAAATTAGAATCCAAGAAAAAAAAAATGGAAAAATTTTTCAGAAGAATAGACTTAGTGGCAACAATTAGAAAGAAATTACAACATAACAAATGAAAAGTTAGAGAGAGAAGAAGGGGAGTCGAGAGATGGGTGGAGTATTCTTACCTGTGTTTCTCCCTCTTCTCGACCGATGCGTTTAGTCTCTCTCACTATGGAATCCATCCCACTCGTAGGAAGACGTGACGTGCCTAAATGGGTTTCTCTCTCTCTTCCATAGGCGCTGCACTTTCTCTCCTCTTTCCTGAACTTTCCCCTTCTCTCGTGCTTTCTATTTCTCTAAACCTATAAATGGGTTACTCTCTCTCTCTTTACTGCGGGCTATTTCAAATCGGTTCCGGGCTTAGCCGATGACTTTTATCTTTGTGACAACTGGAATGAACTAATCTCAGCTTGGGGAGGATATTTATTTTTAATTCTTTTTATAAATTGTTTTGACACTAAATTTTGGACGTCCATTCCTCTATTAAACTCGCACTAGCAAAAATATAAAAAAAATATTTTCAATATAATAAAATGACCCAAATACTTCTAAAATTTTCAAGGGATATTTTGATCATTATATTTTATCAAAAAACTATTTTTAATATTTTTTATAGGTGCGCCCCAATGAGAAGATGACA